GTCCCACAAGAGTTTCCTACAAGAGTGTCCCACAAGAGTGTCCCACAAGAGTTTCCTACAAGAGTGTCACACCAGAGTGTCCCACAAGAGTGTCCCACAAAATTGTCCCACAAGAGTGTCCTACAGGAATGTCCTACAAGAGTGTCCCACAAGAGTGCCCCACAAGAGTGTCCTGCAAGAGTGTCTCACAAGAGTGTCCCACAACAATGTCCGACAAGAGTGTCCCATAAGAGTGTGTCCTATAAGAGTGTCCCACAAGAATGTCTGGCAAGAGTGTCCCATAAGAGTGACCCGCAAGAGTGTCCTATGAGAGTGTCCCACAAGGAGTGTCCTACAAGAGTGTCGTGGAAGAGTGACCCACAAGAGTGTCCCGGAAGCGTGTCCTACAAGAGTGTCTACAAGAGTGTCCCACAAGAGTGTCCCAGAAGAGTGTCCTACAAGAGTGTCCTACAAGAGTGTCCTACAAGAGTGTCCCACAAGAGTGTCCCACAAGAGTGCCCCGCAACAGTGTCCCACAAGAGTGTCCTGCAAGTGACCCACAGAGTGTCCCACAAGAGTGTCCCAGAAGAGTGTCCCACAAGAGCGTCCTATAAGAGTGTCCCGCAAGAGTGTCCTACAAGAGTGTCCCACAAGAGTTTCCTACAAGAGTGTCCCACAAGAGTGTCCCACAAGAGTGTCCTACAAGAGTGTCCCGCAAGAGTGTCCCACAAGAGTGTCCCATAAGAGCGTCCCACAAGAGTGTCTCACAAGAGTGTCTCACAAGAGTGTCCCTTAAGAGTGCCCTACAAGAGTTTCCTGCAAGAGTGTCCCACAAGAGTGTCCTACAAGAGTGTCCTACAAGAGTGTCCCACAAGAGTGTTCCAGAAGACTGTCCTACAAGAGTGTCCCAGAAGAGTGTCCCAGAAGAGTGTCCTTCAAGAGTGTCCCACAAGAGTGTCCCACAAGATTGTCCCACAAACGTGTCCGACAAGAGTGTCCTATGAGAGTGTCCCACAAGAGTGACCCACAAGAGTGTCCCATAAGAGTGTCCCACAAGAGTGTCCTACAAGAGTGTCCCATGTCCCACAAGAGTTTCCTACAAGACTGTCACACAAGAGTGTCCTACAAGAGTATCCCATAAGAGTGTCCTACAAGAGTGTCCCACAAGAGTTTCCTACAAGAGTGTCACACAAGAGTGTCCCACAAGAGTGTCCTACAAGAGTATCCCACAAGAGTATCCCACAAGAGTGTCCCACAAGAGTGTCCTACAAGAGTGTCCCACAAGAGTGTCCCACAAGAGTATCCCACAAGAGTTTCCTACAAGAGTGTCCCACAAGGAGTGTCCTACAAGAGTGTCGTGTAAGAGTGACCCACAAGAGTGTCC